ACGCGATTGAAGAGTGTGCCGGCGAAAATTGGATATAATCAACGGGAAAAGTGGCGACAATATTTCCATTATCGTTCGTTCGTGACACTTTAACGCTCCGGCCTGTTGTCATTTTCGCCGAGATCGTTGAAAATATCCCGGCAAAATGAGTCTATTAAACACGCTCGTCGATGAAAACGGAGAAATTAACCATTTTCGCATCCGGCGTTTTCTACCGGGGCCCGAATAAAGCTCCGTTGACCCGTCGTTATTCGCGAACAAACGCTGCCCTCGTACGATTTACGCGTGTCATCCCTCGCCACGGTTCGAACTGAAAAGATCTCCGCGGATGGAACCGCTCGCGCCTGTCTTATTGCCTTGTACGCGAAAAAGGAATACGTTAATGCGTCTCGTTTAAGCGAAGCTATTTAACGGGTTCTGACGGTGAAACGAGTTGTCGGGAATAGAAAATCTGTAATTACCGCATCCTCGTGCGGATGTAATTTACGCTAATTAACTTGAAAGCATTTTTTCCACTCGTCCCTGTGCCAGCTCTCACTGTTCCTTCCTCGCGACCGCGCGCACACCGCGCCGTTCCGATCTCGCGTCCGCGCGAGCTTCGGATCGCGTTTGCCACCGGAGGCTTTTCTTTTCGTCGCCACTCGCCTGCAACCCACCGCGCACGCTCGCTTCTATATTCCACACCGAGAGAGAGAGAGAGAGAGAGAGAGAGAGAGAGAGAGAGAGGGAGTCGGTTAATCGAACGACGCGATAACCGGTCGTTCCACGTACCTAACCGCGAGCGGATCGCTCGGTAATAAGACGATTCTTTCTGACCGAAAACGCTTGCCGTGGTCCCAAAAGAACGCAACCTTTTTCACCCCGTTCTTCCTCTTTCGTCTCGTCGATCCCTCGTCTCCCTCCGACGCGCGTTTCCTTCGCGTCTCCGCCCTGCTCGCACGGTCTTTCTCTCGCTCTGCGTGGCCGTAAGCCCGACGGGGATCGTTCACGATTTTACGAGGGACTAGAGTCGAGTATCGGTGGGCAATTATCCGCGAAACAAACAGGTCCGCGAGGGAAAGTCTAACGACTGCCGGGGTCTTCCCAGCGATTACCTCAAAGCAAACCGCCTAACAAGACATTGTTCCGAATAGCTTAGCCATTCTCCCCCGGCGTGGCCCTTTTCCACCCTCACACCCACTCCAGCGGAACCTCTTCCCACATAGAAGAACCACCACATCCAGCGGGACGACCGAACCCGGCAGCAGTTAACAACCCTGGTCTGGCGACGGTCGTTAGCAACCAACCTCGTGCACCACCCCTTCCCCACCCTCACCTTCGACTTTCTCGCTTCGCTCCTCTCCTCTCCACTTCTCCTCTGCGTTGCACCGTCTCCTAATTCAAATCCGTGCTCCGTTACCCGCTACTGCTCTGCGGACGCTGATGAGCGTGTGGCAAACGTCCGCGCATCACGGAAACGGTCCTTTAATAGCGCGCCCACCCATTCGTCGAAGGTTAAACGTCGCTTCTTTCCTTTCTTCCATTTCGAATTTCCCCCCGAAGCCAACGCTGCGCTAGAATTTCCACCACGACGACGACGACGACGACGACGACGACGAGTTCAGATGGACGCGCCGCGTTTCCACGCGCGCTCGTTAATCGTCTCGTTGTTCCACGCGGAGTGATAAGATTCCTCTCGCTGGTATCGTATTTTCCGAGAGAATCCCGAGGAATCGTCTACCTCGACGAGACACCGGCGACTCGTTCTCGATACCGGGAGAGAGAGAGAGAGAGGAAGAGAGGGAAGAGTAGACGGAAGGAACAGCACGGACGACCGATAACTCGCTCCTTTAAAAAAGTTCTTTCGAGTATATTCGCGCGTTAACGGCATTATCGCCGCCGCGATAAAATCCCCCGGGTGATAATATATTCCGGCAGGCAGGTCGGGGAAAAAATACAGATTAAGGTATCCTAAGCACGGATTTAATGCTTATTTATACGCCGCTAAGCACCGGCATTACCGGCGTATTACGATCCTAGCAGTCGCGCGAACTTTTTCCGCGCCCCCTGCCGCCCCTTCTCAATCTTCCGCGCCGCGAATTAGCGAGCGCGATTAATTTCGATAATTCCCAGATGCTACGAAACGCCGTGAAATCTCGCCGGAAACCGACCAGTCCGAGCCCCGGCCAGATTTACGCGCCATTTTATCTAGCGTCCAACGCGTTCCGTTGATCCTCACGCGGTCAGAGTCATTAACGATTTCCAGGATACGACTCTTTCTCCGCTCTCAGCGGTTAAATCGAAGATTTACCGCGGCGAGAGGCGTACGGGAACGCGGAAGGGCCCTGGGACGAGAAGACGAATCGGTTTACGAGTCGTCGTTCGTCTCGCAACTTCCCTACGACTCGGCCCGGCTTTCCCTCGGTCGCCAGTCGAGTTTCGAGTATTCGATTACCACCCTGTACACCCGTAACGCGTCCGCGTTCAATGAGCCACCGTTGCTGTTCGTTAGTAGCTGCGGAGCCAGCTCTGCACGCGATTCCAGCCACCCCGCTCCACGGACTTACGTTACTTTGTTACTGCGCCGTTAATTTTAACGTCTAGTACGTGCCACCGATTTTTCCGACCTGCGAGATCCAACGTCCTCGCGCACCAACGTCCGTTTTTCCACCTTTTCCTCTCCGTTTTACGGCCGCAGTTTCGACCGTTCCTTTGGAAGATCTCGAAGCCGGCGTCGCGAACAGGGTCGACTGGATCGGTTAAATCGGGACGCGAGAAGCTACGCAGTCGGCGTGTCGATTAAATCGGTGACGGATCGGTGATCGGCTAAACGCAATTACCCGCTCCCCTCCGCGTAATCGGCAAGACGATCGCCTATCTCGCGGCTCGATTCGGCGTCGTTAAAGGGAATGCTTTCACGCCACCCTGGGGAGCAGCACGCCGGAGACATTATCACCGGTAGGCCTACGGAATTAATATCAGAGCTCTGCCTCTTGCTCCCTGCTCCTGCTCCCCATGCCTCGCGAGACACCCAAACTTTCCAGTTTTAGACGACCGCGAGCAATCGAAGATGCGTCACGATAAGGCTAGCGGAACGAGAGGCTGTTTCCTCGAGATCATCGAGGATTCCAACAATCTCCGAGCTCGCTTCGACGATTAGCCTCTCGCGCGATTAAATTATTCCTCGTCGATCGAAGAAAGTAGAAACCGTCTTTCTCCCGAATACTCCGTATCTCGTTCGACCGTGCGAATAATAAGGAAAAACGAAACGCTTTTCCAGTATTTTAGGAGCGATTCCGAGCGTCCAGTGTCGGAGCTATTCGCACCCGCGCCCAGCTCGGACCGATGACTCTCGAAACGGGAAATCCGATCGGACGATTCGATTCCTAGACACGCGGCCACAGGCGCGTATAAAGCGGAGCGTATATCGGGTGGCGCGGCAATTATGAGGGGTGTCATAATGTTTCTCACGAAAATCCAATTTGCCCGAAAAGCTGGCCGATACCGCCTGGCCCGCGTTTCGATATTGCGACGCTCGTTAATACCGCGACTCTCTTCCGTCACTTTAATAGATGTCGCCGGGGAAAATCAATTTGTTCCAATTTGCCTGGTGCTCCCTTTCCGTCTGCCTCTCGCCCTGCCGCGAGCTCGCGTTCCGCGCGTGCACGACACGCGGCAAGCTACGCGTCCTTAACGAACCACCATCTCCGAGGATGGCGTGTCGTTAAACAGCCCTCTATCTCTCCGCTCGTCCGTTCTTCTTTTTTCCTTCCGTCGCGTTTTATTTACTCCGAGCCTTCACGGTTCACGTTATAATTTTTATTGGCTTCCACGCGTCGACGATATCCGTTTCGGCCACTCCGACGAAATGAATTGCAATATTTGCCGGCTAAATTGGCGGGCATATTTTCGAGCGGCGGACCGACCGATCGGAAAGCCAATAACGAACATATTCGCGAAAAACAGACGGACGGGAGATGGAAGGGCAGATGGCGGGCTGCGATTGATCGATGTTCTTCGAATTTTTGCCGGTAATTAAACGGATTAAGAATTTCGCGGGATCGAGGGCTCGAGCCCGGGGCTGCGCGAAATTCTCGCTCCCGGTCGTAAGTGGAGAAACAAGGGATCGGGATCGGTGTGGACGTTGGAAGATAAATCGGATGGAATTATTCGAGCGAGCGATAAATTCCTCTTTTCCCACGGCTAATGAATCTTCGATATCGGAACGAGACACGGTGACCCGTTTCCGCGATATATCTCGTCTTCCCTCGGATCCGACTTCTATTTAGATCGTTCGTTATTTCCGAACAATCGGGCCGGCCGAATTACGCGCCGTAAGAGTTGTACGCTGTAAATAAGGGAGCACGATAATAACCGGGCGGGGGAAGCGGCGGGCGGGAAAAATCGGCGCAGACCTGAACGGAAATCGGAGGAACGGGTCGATTAGGTCGGTATAGGCCTCCGGGCGGCAGTGAACCGATCGAAAGCCTGTCGCGTAACAGCGGCGGCCGGCTGCTGCTATGTCAGGTCCACGGAGTGAAGTAAAATGGACTCGAAGGGTTATGGCCAGCCATCCGTGGGCTTATGGGCTGATCGCGACCGATAGAATCAGCGTTCTGCCTCCGTGCTTTTGCTCATAATCACTTTTCGATTAATTAAATTTTACGCCCTCTGTCGTCGATAAACGTTAAATTTAACGGGTCGCTCTCCTGCCACGCCGTTACTACTCGTTACGGTCTATAAGCACCGCGGCGCCGCCGACGCCGACGCCGGCTCTCGAAACGCGTAACGCGCACAGGTATAAAACGGATACACGGAACGTTACCCGTTTTTGGTACGCAGTATCGTTTTTTTCTTCCCCCTTTTCCCATTTCTTTTTTTTTTTTTTCCCACGTTTTTCCGTCCGTTTCGTTTCTAATACCTCTCTCGGTATCTCGCTCGCGCGATATCAATTTCGATCGGACACGCGAGAGGCACGGCGAGGGAGAGGGAGAGGATCGGGGCTCGCGAATGCCTCGACGATGGAAAGGGTAGGACGAAGAACGGAAGGATGGCCGAATCGCGGAGGAGGACGAGTGTTAATTGGATCGAGCGTCTGCAAGAATATCGGTTCAATTAAGAATGGTAAGTGGTCCCGTTAATTTGAATTCCTCGAAGGCTTCGGCCCGTTTCCTTTGGCCCGCGACGCGGCCTCTCATAAATATGCGCTCGATAGTTAACCTTTTTCTCGTCGCTTTCGTCATTCATGAGCCTGGAGCACGAAGAAATCGAGCGGATAACGGGAGAGGGGCGGGAAGTCGATCGAATCGTTTCCTCTTTATTTCTCCACCCCCTCCGTTTTCCCGGTTCGACGGAGCCAGCGAGACCAGCGAAATCATTGTACTCCCACTGGCAAAATCGAGAAATACGGAGCCGTTCCGGGACTCGGGTATCCGTGGGGTGGCGCGGGGGCTAAATCTGGCGAAGGCGGTAATTAAATTAATTAGCCTTCTCGAGGATGCAAGGATACCGGCCGACCGAGAAAGCCGGCGGAACACTGGAACGGAGAAGGACAGCCGGATCGCTTCTTTTTCCTTAAAACGGTCTTAATTATCAGGGAATTTCCACCGCCCCCTCCCCTCTTCCTCTCTCTCTCTCTCTCTCTCTGCTCCGGCGTCCCCCAGCTTTTCTTCCTCCACTCCCGCGCACCCCTTTTCGCCGATCTCCTCTCTTCCGCTATTCGCCTCTTCGTCCATCCGCCGCGTTTCCAAACCTTCCGCCCCGTTCGCGCTCTCGCACTTCCTGTCTCGGTCTTTCTTCCGGCTATTTATTAAGTTTTTACTTATGGCGGCGACTGCACAACAATCGTCCCGGCCGAGCAGCCGGTCGATCGGATTCGCGCGTTTTCACGGACGGACGAAACTTTTCCCGCCGCCCGGCCATGGGACGGCTCGCTTTCCATGAAAGAAGCAAAGCACTCGGAGTAATTAGAAGCGGAATTATATTCCGCCGCATCCTGTTTCAGTTTATAAACAAGGACTCTTAAACGAAGTTCCCTCGGAGGAGAGCAGGACGCTTTAATGCCCCGACGCCATGCGTTCACGTGTTCCCGATTCACCGTCTTCCTTTTCCACCTTCTTCCGCCACTCGACCCGCTTCATCGGCACAGTTACGGCCCATCTCGCGTGAAATTCCTCGTTCCCGTTCGTCGCAGGTACAGAGAACGGCCGTTATCGCGCGCGATTTCCCAAAGACGCAGCGCGTTAACTTTCCGCTATTAATTATTACTTTCCCAGCGTATCGATTGGCCAGCGCCGGATAATTGGACCCGTGGACCGTTAATAATGCCGCTCCCTCGTTGAGTTAATATTCATAAATTAGCGTTACAATAGAATTTGTTACGCGTACGGCTAGGGGCCCGGAGCCGGGGCCGGGGCCGGGGCGGGGGCCGGGGACGCGACCGAACCATTCGCCGCGGCGGATTTCGCTAGGAGGCTGATATCCGGTGGAAAATTAGCCTCGGTAAACGGACGCGGCATCGGCCAGTCGTCCCGCGTGATTTTCGCGCGGCCGTTTCGTCGTTTAGAGATAATTAAACGGCGGCTCGACCGCGCGTACGAGATATGAAAACGAACGGTGGATTTAATCGGTGGGAGCGCGTCTACGAGCGCGAGGCATCGCGAGGGATCGCGAGGCGTAAACGGTTGGTCGTTTGGCGCGAGTCAGTGGAAACGGCGGCAACAGTCAGCCGCGTTCTTCCAGCATCGATCTCGGGCGTTATCGAACACGCGTGCACGCTGAACGATCCCTAGGGAGCCGTAGCTCGATACGGAGCCGGCAGCTTCGCCGCGCGACTGCGAAATTAGCGGGAAAGCCCTGCTCCTCGTCGAGGCGAAGCCGCGAGTTGCTAAGCTCGACCCAAGTTCGGTGCTTCCGCCAGCCCATTCGCTTCTCTCGCTTCCTTCGCGCCGATATTCTCGTCGCTCGTGCGCGGCCTTCGAGGCTCGGTGCTCGTTCCCCAGACGGCCACGACGACGATGGTCCCCGCGAGCGGGCTGCGACGGAGAGACCGAGAGACGGGACACGCGTTTTAGTTTTTAATGATTATTGCGTCCCGGCGCTCGGGCCAGGTAGCTAGACATTAGCCTGCGGTCTCCCTTTCGCGCATTTGCATATCTTTCCAGCCGTTAGGAATTGCCTGCTGGCTGCTTTCGCCCGCCCTAACCGACGGGCTATATCTACTAGCAACGGACGTACTCCAACTTTTAAGCCCTTCGCCACGCTTCCCTTGCCCCTTTCGCGTCTCCCCCTTTTCCCTCATCCTTCGCCTTTGCTGCTTCCTTCTTCCTTCCACCTTCTCTCTTTCTCTCTCTCTCTCTCTCGCTCTCTCTCTCTCGTTCTCTCTGTCTCGCCGCCGCCGTGTCCTCCTTTATGCGCGCGGCAGCCGCGCTTGTAATTTCTCTCTTCCTAGTCTTTTCGCCCCCTCCGACCCTGCCTTCCCTCCACCTTTAATGGCACTCGGTTTTCGAGTGCTTTAATTAACGTTTTGTCAGGCGTTCTTTAATTAGGCCGCTTTTGAAAAAATCAGTCACCAGAGTCGGTGCACCGCGCCGGGGGCGCTTTCGTTGGGACGAATCGCGATCCGTTTTTCTACCTGCGAGCCTCTGCCGTTTGCCCAACCTTTCTGTGTCTCGTCCACCGACCGGACGTTCGCTCCTCGGCATCCGATCGGCCGACAATCGCGAAATATCCTTCGGCAGATCCAAAGATCGGCCACGCGTCGCGTATACCGCGCTATCTCCACGATGACTAACGTCTTTTTTCCTGTCGTTTCAGAGACGCGAGACCGAAGGTCACCCAAGGTCAGCGAAGGTCAACGCGAGGCACACACGCACACGCGGATTAAATATTTCGCACGATCGGCTTCTCGACGAAGGCAGCAATCGGGATGCAAGTTACGACGCCCGGATCGAGGATCACGTTCGAGGGAAACTTTCGCGAGAGATGCGATGGTGGATGGAATCGAACTACACCCCGAACGTACCAGCAACGCGTATCGGCCAGATCGTTTTCTCGGGCTCGCGCTTCCCGTAGAACGATTTCTCGGCGAGAATGCTTACGCGCCATTAAATTTTCACGCGACGATCGTCGAAATTCGCGAATACCGTGCTTTCTCCTTATCGTCGGAACGAGTAGGTTCATAACCTTCTCGTATCGAGCGCGGTGTGGTTTACACGTTATTTAGCTGCCTCCCCGATGTAAGATTGGCCCGGCGAAACTATCGTCCGCCGTCGTAGCCCGAACGGAACGCGTCCGCCACTCGTTCGGCTTCGCCCTCGCGATATTGCGTCCAGTTACGATGCGAGAGGAAGGAACGCCTCGGCGTGAAATTAACCTCGCTCGGAAAGCGTTTCGTAAGAGCGTAACTAGACGGAAGAGGCAAGAGGCGAAGCGGCGCGAAATGGACAATAGTTGAGCGGCCGTCGCCACGGACCCCTGTATAGAGATAATATCTGTATTTCATTAACATTATTCTCCGAGGTAGTCTCGGCCCCCCCTCACTCTCTCTCTCTCACTCTCTCTCTCCCTCTCTCGCTCCGTGTTCCCTGCACGCCTCGAGCCCCCGGCGAGGTAAACGGCACCTCCGGAAGTCACTCGATCGTGCGTTCCAGACCCTTCCAGCGCGGCGGTGTCTCGCTCGCGCCATCTTCCGCGCGAACCTAACCCCTTTCAGCCTGCCACCGCCGCGGCTATAGCCTCGCAATTAGAAACTGATTGCGCGCCAAGTCTCGTTTAAATTCCTGCCTCTTGCCGGGGTCGAACTTTCGCGCTTTCCCTCTTCGAACGCACCGTGTTTCTTGCGTTTCTTCGTTTCGAACGCCGCGTTCGGGACACGGCGGAGATTGTCGCGCGAACAGCGGCGAGCGGAAAGTCGGAGAGGAAGGAGTATTTGTCGCGAGGATTTTCACTCGTTCGTAGATCAGACTTATACGCGCGATCCATTAAGATACTAACGAGGATAAGGGGACAAACGACGTCGGTTCACGGGGAAGAAAAATCGCGAGGGAAAATTCGCGGTGAGAGAATGAACGGCGAGGGATTGGCGGCAGCGGCGGTGGTGGTGGGCCAGGACGAAATCCCGGGGAGAACAACGTCGAGGCTTGGAGGCCGTAGTTTACCGGGATCGTTACGGAGCATAGCCGCGGAATTCAATAGCAACAAACTCCGACGCGGATATTATTCGGCAGTAAAATTTTATTTCGCCAGCATTTATTGGCGCGTTCGCAAAGCCGACCGGAACGGACCTGGCCTCTCTACGCCCGCGTTTATTTGATAACGACAAATTATTGTTACGAGAAAAAATGGCGGCTGCCTCTCACGCTCCCTCTTTCGTTGCCCGATCCCGTTCCCCGAACCCGGTCACCGGCTCTCTGCAACGGCTCTCTACGTACGGCTCTCTCTGCACACGGCGTGGACGCGCGCGTGCAAGGAGAAAGAGAGGGTTGAACGAGGAAGAGGGAAGAGGTGCGGCGGGGGTTGGCTTTGGGCCTGAGCCTCGGCCGGCTATCGGGCGACGTGTCCGAACGCTAATCTCTCGATATTTTAGCGGATTTATATTTTCACCGGTTGCACTGCTGCCGCCGCGGCTCGATCCCCCGAGATATCTGCACGGAAACGTACGACAGGCATATCATTCCTCCTTCGAGCTCTACCCGTCGTCGTTCACCTCCTCGTCCTACCTACTCTTCCACCACCGGAACAGTGGTGCCCTTGCGTCTCTACGAACAGTGCCTCTCCTTCTCTCTCTCTCTCTCTCTATCTCTCTGTCTCTCTGCCTCTGTCCGTCGTCCGACACCGGCTACATCGACGTTCGTACGAAAAACAGTGATTACCAGAGGCGGAATATCCGTAAATACGATCGAGCAGGGACGTTCCACGGGGTTTTTTCGCAACGGGAAACGTGGAACGACGTTATTAAGCCGTAATACGTCTCGTTATGTCGCGTCGGTCAGCTCCATTATCGAGTGAGCCTCGCGCGCGTGTATGTACCATCGTCCCGTGATACCGCGGATAATCACTGCGAGCGGATAGATTGTCGCGCGATATTTTTCCAATTCGCGGCAGGGATTTCACGTGTCAAAAAATGGACGGCGTATTTCGCGACGTGTTTACCCGGAGTGTAGCAAAGGGCAGGTTGGCCGGGCGCGGGACGAGGGGCAGGCGGGGCTGCGGGCGAAATTCCGGCGTCGCTAGCGCGTTAAGTTGTTTCGCGTTATGGTTGTGTTATGGGACATTGGATGCGCGCGATACGGGGCTGCACGAGGAGCGAAGGGTGCAGCAGCACCGTGCTCCATATAGGCACGAGGATATATCCTGGCTGCCGATGCTGCGCGCTGCACCTGATCCTGGTCGGCTAAATTGATGATATAATCCGCCATAACTCAGGATTACCGCGGAGGCCCGAGTGTGTGCCTGTACACGCGGAGGAGCCGTGCAGCCGAAGGCTCGCACCGCGAATATCGAGCATTCCGCGCCGTGTACTTGCCACCTACCTAATCCTTCGCCGTTCTTTCGCGTCGTCTCCGCGTTCCTCGTCTAATCCGACCATCTCTATTCCATCTCGAGGAACCTGTTATTTTTCACTCCCTTTTTTCTCCTCTCCGTTCTTCGTTTCCCCGACGACGAAATTTCACCCGTCCCTCGTCGCTCGCGAGCGATTCTCACGGGTAATTTCCATCAGGCCCGGATCGCGCGTTCAGCGCGAGGATTCAACGCGGTCGTCGAATCGCGAAGAAACTCGATCTTATTCGAATTTCCGAGCGACGCTTCCCATTGTCGATTTATAAATTTAATCCCGTGGATGTTCCGGTCCCCGTTCGGCAACATTGTTCGCTGGAAGAGAAAAGAGGACGAGGGTGAGCACAGCCGGTGTGCTTCTACGACGCAACGTGTCCAACAGGCTTTTTGATTCTCCCCAGCGACCCGACCACCGTCTCATGCCTCAACGATTGTACACCGCTATCTCGCGGAGGATCATTGCACCCCTGCGAGCCTCTTAGGTACAGTAAATGGCGGCACGAAGGAGGGGCTGAATCCACGCCAACTCGCAGCCGCGGTGGCGTTCGCCTCTTGCTGCCCGACGTTGTCGACCACCAGGCTTCTGCTTCGAGGTATCGCAAAAACCTACTTAAACCTCGTGCACACGCTCGTCCCCGTTGCTGTCGCGGTACAATCGAGTGCGGTGCTCGAGCGCGCCACGCAACCCTCGTCGGACCACACCGGTTTGTCTCATTGTTATCCAACGATCCCCGAGAGGGTGGAGGAGGTGGAGGACCACGACGACAACGACGACGACGACAACGACGACGACGACGACGAAGGAGAAGAAGAGGAGGGAGAGAGGGACGACAGGCAGGGCTCGTCCAGACTTTCTGCGGCGAACGTTTATGGCAGCGGCGTGAGCTAGGGTCTCGTTAGTTCCGTAAGGCCGCAACTTCCGGCGACTCTGCGTCCCTCGACGTCGGAAAAAAGAAGCTCCTCCGCCGACGAGCGTTCACCGGTTTTCCTTCTCCACGGGAAAACTCTCCAACAGATTACAGTACGCGTTCGTTACGCCGAGTCTGCGAGTCCGCGTTATTTAACGACCAACGGGCAACTTGTAACGAGTTGTCGCGACGAACTAGTAACTGGATTTCAATAATCTTCCCCGGGGGGATTTCCGATTCGACGAGGCGCAATTAGCGCGACAACGATATCGCCGGTCGTGGCATGGAATTAAGAGAGGAGACGGCAGAGAAAAGTAAAAAACACGAGCAGAGAGGAGAGTGAAAAATAAAACGAGCGGAATCTCTCGGACGTATGGCACGGACGCTTAAGTCCTGCCATAAATATCGCTCGTTTGCCGGTGGCGCGAAGCATGAAGCACGACCAGAAAAAATCCCTTCCTCAAACACGCGAAATATCGAAATTTACAGCCTTACGTGGAGGGCGAAGGGGGCGGCGAAGCGGCTTTACGCAGATTTGTAGACGCGGACGGGCAGGACATTCGCCTGCGGTCCACGCGTAGTCTTCCAGCCGAAGATGGCTGCCATTAACCAATTTCCAAATACGTTTCTTCATCTGCTAGTGAAGCTTCCTCTGGCTAGCCTCGTTATCCGCGTAACGAAGATCAGCCCAGCGTCGTTCCCCAAGGATGTACGCGTGGTTCCAACTTCTCCGTCGGTGCCGTTGGTCAGTAGTTGGTTAGCGAGTAGTTTGCCAGGATTTACGTCGAACGCGACCAGCTAAGTAACACGAGTAAATCGCGCGAAACGCGGTGACAAAGCGCCATTCCGCTAAATTCCCATCGAGAATATTCGCGAGTGATTCATTCGAGAGATTCCTCCTGCTCCGACCGCTCTTACGGACCTTACGACCTCTTATTCTCGGTTTTTACGAGGATATTCCGGCGTCCCGGCCTACGATACGTTCTCGCATAATTGCGTTCCCGTTGTTCTCGAATGGGCTGCGTGGCGCGGCCTAGATACGAATCGAATACGGAACGAGCCTCGAAAGAGGCTCCTTTATGACGTACATCGCGGCTCGGTTGACAAAGAGCCAGTCGACGAGTGGATTCGACACGGTCGCGAGCCTCGCGATATTCGATAACATCGTCTGAGAAGATGCACCGGCTGGCTGAAGCTGCTTTCACGACTCATAAACCCTCTTTCGTCGCCCCGCTATCGACGTCCTTGGACCCCTGTTGCCATCCGCGCGGTGCTCCTTGCTCGCGCCATCCACGATTCCTTCGGGTTACCATGGAACGCCCCGTGCGCCGCGGTACCGTGAAAATCCTACATTTTCAACGCGGGAAAACGGAGATTACCGGTAGAATCGGCTAGTTCGCACGGGTGCTTGATTTATCGACTAGTCGCGACGGTGTAGGTCGATGTCAAAGAGCCACGCGCGAGAGTGTTAGTTCAAGATGCGGTCTCGTGTGTCTGATAACACTGGTCAACGCGATTTTTCCGCTGTGATACGCATCGGGTAATGCTTGTGGAACTTATCTACTCGAATACGAAGTTGTATAAGAAATTGCTTCGTCTCTCTGTCTTCGGAAATTCGAAGGTTTCCTGACAACGCAGGATTTTTTGCTAAAATGAAGTATCACGCGGAAAGTACGAGTGTGAGGGGGGGGGGGTTAATTTTTATCGTATAAATTAGGTGAGCGTTTGTCGAGTCTGTCAATGTTCGTAGTTATAATT